AATAGAAAAAAATTCTGTATTTTGTGGAAAGTGGCATCATGGTAAACTGCTGATTTTTTTTCATGCACAAGAGAAAGCTGTGGGGACCAAGCGCCATCTGGTGGCAGTTACACCACAGGCTATACAGTCTAACAAAAACTTGACAGAATTAATAATTTACCTTGATTTACAGTAAAATGACTAAAAGCGGTCAGACAACTGATATTGGTTTAAAAGACTGCAATGTATTGTAGGTGCATTACAGTACCTCATGCATTGTGAGCAGGTAGTTCAGAATACTCTGCAGTTCGTCTTCCTTGACGCCATGATCCTACATTCACACAACACACAAGCATTACCTGAACTGCACTTCTCATGATGGAGTTGATTTATTCAGATCGTATGCATGTTATGGTCATATTAGTGTACCTTCATGATAAGTTGCTTGACAAACAGCAGCAGGAACGCTCGGAGAGAGAGGATCTCCTTCTGATTTGGTCTCGGCCCATCTGATGCAAGATATCAACCAAAAACACTCATGTAAATAATACTCCATGGGCCTACGTTTGTGATAATACTAATACATATTTTTTTGTTTTCTGCGTCCTAAAGGAAAATCAGTTTAGAAATAACCATTTTAGATCATTTTTCTTTATAACTTGTTGGAAACAAATGGAAGAGAATATTTCACTCATTTAATGTAACCTTAATTTCATTTAATGAGATTTGAATGAGACAAGCAATAAAGCAGTCTACTGTGGAAATTACACACAAAACACACTGAAAGACAAATTGCTTAGTTATTGCGGGACGGGATGATTTCCCACAGCATCTTTAGTGCAAACCTGCAGTGCCCTTTTTATCTGGAAATACTGGAAATATATTTACAATTAGGGCTGTACGATTTGGGTGAAAATATCAAATTGCGATTTTTTTTGACAGATATTGCGATTGCGATTTGATTTGCGATTTTAAATTTGCAAAGTCAAGCTTCAGCTCAATATTGCCAATAATGTGCAGCACAGTATGGGTATCATTACCCTGCTGAAAAAAACAATAGGAACCATCACAGAAATTCTTATAGTTTCCATTAAACCATTACAAAATTCCTTTTTGTTTTGGGCATTATTCCAATAGGAATTACTGTTGTTCTATTGGTTGCCATCTGCCAGATTACATCCCACCAATAGAATCCATCAAATAGACACCATTATAGTTTACATTAAAACCAATACAATTCCCATTATAACCCTGAAATCCATTAAATTTGTAATTGTGTTTTGGGAGGGGTTCTATGGGTTTTTTTTTCAGCAGGCAAGATTATAATGGTATAACTACTTTTACAGAATTAACTTAATTACTGAATTTCACAGAAAATATTTGTTTATTTTTTATAAATAAAGAACTATTTCTTAAGTCAATTATTAAAGTATTACATATGTTACATAGGCTGATTTATTCATTTTAAGTATTTGGGATTTTAAGAACAAGTGGAAAATGTGCTGAATGTTTCATTTCATCCAAGTGAAATTAGCAAGCAGTTAGACTGAATTTACATTCGTTTTAAACGCGGAGCCAGGCGCGAGTCGACACAGGTTGCGCGCGTGCGTCAAGCCTCATCCATACTGCCAGATGCGCTCGTGAAGACTTGCAGTGCGGAGCCGGGTGCGAGTATAAACGAGCATTACGAAACAGGCTGCGTGACTGCGGCAAGTGTGAACGGCTCGTCCGTGACGCGGGATTCGCGCCGCGTGGGGCAGAGAGGAGCGAGTATGAGAAGCATTCACAGACACAGGCTGTGTGTGCGCTCTTCTGAATTGGGAATAGCCAACATGCATTATAAACTTATTTCAGTCATGCATATACTCGGGAACAGAGTAATATCGCCTCCATATCGCAGGCTTTGCGATTAGGAAATCGCAACGTCTCAAATCGCGATTTCGATTCGATTTCGATTAATCGCACAGCCCTATTTACAATGACGGCGTTTATAGATTAAAAATTGAAAGAATGAAATATTAAATGCATAAAGTTGCAACATCCTAGCAAAGACTCTAGACCACCAAATGAGTTATAAGATCATGAGCTTAAACTAATACTGTATAAAGTAGGGTCCAAAAGTTTGAGACCAGCCAAAAAATCCAATTTGGGGAAAAAAATAACTTTTCATTCAAACTATTATGCTAATAATATAATTTGCAACAAAAATAAAACAGTACTAAATGTGGAAAAAAACAGAGATGTTTTATTACTGTTCTCAGATTTTTGGACAGCTCCACATGGAGCTTTTTTGACCCTTATTCCTTAGTCTCAAGATGTGTTGAGAAGTTAGTTTAGTTCTGCAGCAGGCTGCTCTCTTACCGAGACCCTTGGGTGTGATTCCACTGCGGTCCAGTGGGTTTACAACCCAGTAGAAAAACTTGAGTGTATGCATGACCTGCAGTACAGTTCCAACTCTGCGGATGGTGTTGTAGATGTTGACGGTGCTGATGAATTCTGTGGCCAGGTAGGTGTAGAGAACCAGCTGTACCTGTTGGGGGCAGCAAATCAGTTTAAACCACCCATGAAAAGTCACATTTGAGAGAACAAAGAATTGGTAAACCATTAAGCTAGCATAATGCAACAGCATCGGTTTGAGTAAATGTTTAAGATACCTTAGCTGGGGCATGAATCCAAATGGTAGGGTTGAAAAGGATGTGGTCACACAGCTGTTTCAAGAGCAAAACTCCAGTAGGAAGGTTGCTAAGACAACGGGCGAAGGCAAGGATAATGTCCAGCACAGGTCGTGTCACGTGTACTTTGGAAGACTGAGAAGAAGATACAAACATGAAATCAGTTAATAAACTTGGTCACAAAAAAATGACCAAGAATCAACAGATTGCTTTAAGCTGTGTCACAGCAAACCTTGAGATCGATCTCAGGTTTCTAATGTTTCTTAAAACACCTGGGCTGATTCCCAATGTGCAGAGGACTCACTGCCCTAACAATCACAAGAGAATCCTTTCACTTTTTTAGTCTTAAAAGTGCCGCATAGGACAATTTTTTCAAAGCAACTTGAATATTTCAAAAGCTTTCAACATTTGCACATTTTAGGGCCTTTTTTGACACATACTAAATCCATTTTAGTCTTGCATATATTCTTTTATTTTTTTAAGATTAAGTGTAATGACTTGATGTGACAAATTGAGGCTAGATGAGATCTTAAGTGTCAAGGACATTTCACTGTAAGCCGAGGTAAAAGTAAAACAATTACTGGTTAAGAATGAAAGTGAGTGTGCACAGAAAAAGGGAGAGCAAGAGAAAGACTTTCAAAACAAACAGAAACAGGTGGTCTAGTTAAAGGCAAAGGACAAGGTTTGAGTATTGAAAATGTTTTTCTTGGTTACAAAACAGATGATCGTGTGACATCCAGTTTGGTACGGTACTATGCATTCTCAAGCATTACACTTTTTTCTATTTCTGTGTTACCCAGCAACTTCTGCAGGCATATGCTAGTATGTTTCAAAGGGGACCTATTATGATGTAATATAAATCTCAGGTGTCCCCAGAATGTGTCTGTGAAGTTTCAGCTCAAGATCATTTATTATACGGTTTTGAAAATACCCATTTTGATTGGAAGCAAAAACATGCTGTTTTTGCACATGTATCTTTAAATGCAAATGAGCTGCTGCTCCCTGCCTCCTTTCCAGAATAGGGCTGTGCCTTTACAGCTCGTATCTCGGATATTCTGCCAAAACAAAACGATAGGTTACTTGCATAACCCGGTTCTCTGATAGCATTAAGTGAGGTGTTTCACTAAGGGATACGCCCCTACCACGTATTCCTCAGAAGCCCAATTACATTACACCAGCCCCAGTTGGCTGGCAGACATGTCAGGGAGTGGCTCCCTCCTCTTGGTATAAAAGGAGCGACGCAACATCATTACGACATTCAAAACAAGCACAGCTTCGCACAGCAAGGAGGGTGTTCTGGTGAGACACCTCACTTAATGCTATCAGAGAACCGGGATTACGCAAGTAACCCATCGTTCTCTTTCAAGCACACGTTTCGGTCTCTCACTATGGGATATCCTTACTCCCGTATTGCCAGATAGACCGTCTCTAAGTCTTCTGCCAACCAAAGATAACTATAATAGGGCTGGTTGAGTCATCGCTCAAGATCCAACGCTCAATACTGCATGTGGCTTGTTTTGAGACACTGCTTATGATTTATGGGGATCAAAAAAAGGAGTGGGTGGATTTTTATCATTATAGAGTGGTTGTGTACACACACTGCCAACACACATTCATGATCAAACACTATGTAAAAGTGAATTTTGCATAAAAGTTCCCCATTAAAAAGAACTCCCTTATATGCATTTTAAGAGTATAGGCTTATTTCAAACATTAAAGAAGACAGTTTTCTCTTCTTTTCTTGTGTTTCAGCATTAGCAGGATTTAAACTGTCTTTGGATGCACATGTTCCACGTACTCAATGCACAAAGTAATATTCATGTTCATATTCATGTACTTACCTTCTCCAGTGAGTAACCAATGACAAGAAAGCCCTTGCAGGACAGCACCTGCTCTTGCATAGCTACAGAGCCCTTCAACAGCTCCATCACAAATGACAGTAGTGTGCAACTGAGAGAAAAAACAAACAACAGGTTAGCTTCGGTAGAGAAAGAACTAACAACGAAATGATAATAACACATAGACCTAATCTAGTTCAAGAATTAGTTCAAATGAGGCGGAAATAAATTTCAGTAAATGTTCAACTTTTATGGGCCTTCTGTTTGGAAGCAGCTTGAACATTCTGCAAAATATCTATTTTGTGTTCTATGTAAAACAGTCATGAATTTTCACTAGTGCAGTTGATTTACTGCGCTAATTTGGTGCGAAACAATAAAGCATTAAAATTATTAACACATTTAACATGCTCTGCCCCAGACCTGTATGTCATCTTACACTGCATGCAGTTGCTGACTAACATGATGCAGGACGATGATGCACCCTGTCTTTATGGGTTTTTGTCTTATATTTATATCATATGATACAGTTTAGCAATAAAACACGAGCAAGAGTGCTGTTTTTTTCCCTGATTATCTACACAATAACTATACGTTACATCTTAAGACACAATATTGTCAGTATTGTCTGTTTTTGCTCAATTTTACCAATGAAAATAGTTCCAATCAAAGCCACAGCAGAACTGTTGTGTGTCTCCAAGAAACACACATCAGTTTCGTTCCTGAATGAATCTGTTTTTGAATGAATCGAGTGAGCCAATGATTCAGTGACTCGTTCATAAAGAAAATCCTTCCTTCGTTGAATGAATTGGTTGAATGAATGACTCAATGACTCACTCAGTAAGACAGTGACTTGCTGCCAACTACTGGAGGTTTTAGTTTCATATTTGGAGTATAATTTTTTTTTTTAAATCATTTCATATTTCAATATTCTTTTTTTTTTTTCAAAACCCATTAATGCCCATTTAAAACCCATTAGCCTCACAGCATTATTTATGCAATACTAATTGCAGTGTAAATGTTGTTATAAATAGCTGCTCCAAAAGTGATGATGCAAAAATATCTTGCTACTGTCGTCAATACAACTGATCAATCTGGTCATTTTGATAATGTAAAAGAAAAAATAACTAGCAAAATTCTTGATTGAGGCATTTGTTTTCCAGGTAACACTCATGTTAGTACTACAGCCAATCATGGTTAAATATTTAACTTTGTATTGGCTCCTAGTCAATGCTATGTCCACACAAATTAACACTGAATAACACTAAGCACTGACCTCTAGAGCAGTGTTTCCCAACCGGGGTGCCGTCTGTCGAGAGCAGGGGTGCCGTGTAAAAAAATCATTTTTTAATATTTTTAAATTGCTAAAATGTTCAAAAAAGCATCTATGATATAATATCCATTTCTGATCTCGCCAATAATTAGAGATGCACCGAAATTCCGGCTGCCGAAAAT